AGAGATAGGGACCAAACCAGTCCTGATAAATCAGTGAACTAAGTTCAGTGAGACCCTGAACACACAGTAAGGTGGAGCCAGGAATGATGCCTTTAATTCCAGCACTTGAGAGGCAGAGGGCAGGCAGAACTCAGCCAGTTCCAGGCTTTGTCTACATAGCAAATTCCAGGCCAGCTATGGCTACATAGTAAGCCTGTGTATGGTGGTACAAGGCTTTAATTTCAGCAATGGGGAGGCAGAGGCAAGTGGATCTCTGTGAGTTTGAGGCTAGCCTCGTCTACAGAGCCAGGGCTGTTGCACAGAGAAACTCTGTCTCAGGAAAAAAAGAAAAGAAAAGAGAAAAAAATGGAGAGTAATTGAGAAAGGCACCCAAGGTTGACCTCTGGCCTCCACACAAATTCATTACATGTATGCACATTCACAGACAGGTAGACTAGAAGACTGATGGATTAGATGAGAATACAATAATTGAGTGGAATAAAAAGAGAATTTAAGTCCAACAGTGAATATTTAATGAGAGGCAAATACGCTTTCAATTGATGGAGAAGTATAACAAAGCATGTTATAAAAATGTACAAGTGAGCTGCCCCTCCCTTTGAGACTGGACTTGAACTTGTGATTATCTTGCCTCAGCATCCTGAGTGCTGAAATCGCACGTGTGGGTCACCAAGCTCCTCTTTTTCCCTCCTCTTCTTTTATTTTTTCCATCTCCTCCTCCTTTTTTCTCCTTTTTTCTTCTTCTAATTTTCTTAAGGGAGCCTTATAACAAATTGCAAGGATCTACAGAACTATGCTAAGACTTTCCTAACTAGTGCTGAGAACACAGACAGCTTCCTCACAGGGTGTGCAGGGCAAGGCCTTTCTTCAGGCCATAGTAAGGCCAGTCTGGAATATATAAGAATCTGTCTAAAAAAATAATAAGATAAATAAATATTTTAAATCCATTTTTCCTTCCCCCAATTTTATTTACCTTTGATTTTTAAATTTATTTTCTGAAGCAAGTCTGTTCAATAGAAATGTAGTATGAGACACAGAATTTTAAGTGTTATAGACTACTTAAAAAGAAAACAGGGCTGGGTGTGGTAGCAGAGGCAGATTGACCTCTGTGAGTTCCAGACTAGCCAGGGCTACATAAGATCTTGTCTCAGCAACAACAAAAAGCTAAAAAGAAAACAGAAAAATCTCAACAATTTTCATTTAACCTGATATGTTCATTACAATGTACAACTAATACAGAAAATATCAATGAGGTATTTTACATTTTAAAAATAGTGTCTGTCTAATACCCAGTTATGTGTTCAAGTATGGTACATATTTACATTTTCAGAACATTTTATCCACCTAACTAGTAAATGTGGCTCTTGACTTCCAAATTGGAGAAGACAGTTCTCTAAAGCAGCTAGACTTATTAAAGTTCCCTGTGTGCCGGGCACTGCCCCAAGTCCACAATGTGGAGATGGTGACTTGTTTAGTCCCACAATAACTCTGTGAGGCTACACCTGTCAATCATCTTAAGCATGTATTGCTCTTGCAAGGTAATGGTAATGAGTGTTTGGGAGTTTTGCTATGATTGGGTAGAAGTCTGGCTGCAAAGGCTTAAGTAGAGAGGAAGTGAGAGAATTGGCCAAAGACTAAGTTATTCAGAAGGTTGTATGGTCAGCCGGGTTTGGTGACAGACACTTAAAATCCCAGTTCTCAGGAGAAAGAGGCAGGAGAATCACTTTGATTTATGGACATAGTGGAGTTCCAGGTCTATGGAACTTTGCTTGTCAGAGAGAGAGAGAGAGAGAGAGAGAGAGAGAGAGAGAGAGAGAAACGTGGATAATTAAGAAGAAAAGTCAAGAGACAGAAGGAAATATGACAGAAAAACACTTTGAAGGGTGGAAGACATGAAGGGGAGGCAGGCTGAAGAGATGGAAACTAGAAGGGATATAAATGGAGATGTTGGATGGACTTTCCCACCTAGACAGGGCTCTGATGGAGAAACTGCCTGGTGTAGCTAGACATTGCTCCACAACCCTGAAGCTAAAGGGATGATTTAAAGATACCTGCTTACATTATCACAACAAAGAGCGTAACATCAGTAACTTTTACCTAGATCCTCTACTGAGTGGGATGTTGGCCTGGGCACCTCATTTCATATTTGCAGACGTTCCATAGAACACTTGCCGCTTAAAAGCTATGCAAATGCGGCAAGATTCTTGATCAAGTCTCATGGTCCAGTATACAGAGTCCGATCTGGGTCCACGCCATTTTGAGGAAAGAGAAAGAGACAGAACTAGTCCGGTAGCTTTGAGCTGGATCAGCAGAGTAGGAGCCAGGCTTCTTTGAAGAAATATGTTGGACAGATGTAGAGTGAGATGAAAACAGCCTTGCAGATGGTTGGGTAGGATCTCTGGGGTGTATGATGGGCTCCTCCTGCAGAGCTCAACGGTTTGGACGGGAAGGGAGACCCCAGGCTTGGATAAAGTGGCAGCGCTGAAGGTGAAAGAAAGGGGTGTTTAGGTGAGGGAAGGTGGTTGAAGGAGAGTATACATACAAGCGGCAGAGAGGCAGGGCACGGCAGAGAGCATGACAGAGTGAGCCAAGGTCAGAACTCGGGTGTGAAATCTAGAAAGGGATGGAAGGACCTTAGCGACTTCTCCAGCTGCTGCAGGAGAGTAGCTAGGAAGAAGAGGCCCTCAGGGGAACAGAAATGAGGAAGCCAGACAGGGGATTAGTGCCTGCAGACTGACAGAAGGATATTAGGGAAGAACAGGGAAGAAATGAGGAGGAGGGATGAGTGAAAACCTGCATAGGAGCAGCCATGAACCACAGCATGTACTTAAGACTGGGATGGTGAAGACAGGCCAGCTTCCGGATTGGATTTGCCTCCTTTTAAGAGTTCTTAGCCAGGTAGAAGATGGTAGCCTAAGAATGGCCCGGTGGGATTCAGCCACTAGAAACCAGCAAGGGTACCGGTTCTGTCATCTGTGGTCGACCCAGATCACAGGCCTAGACCATTTTAATCAATGGAACTTGCATCTCTCTGCCCAGACCTTGCTCCAATAAGACCATCCTCCAGATCCCCCACCTCCACCATTTGTGGCAAAGGAAAGGGGGGAGGGATTCGTCGTTATGTGGACAGAGAAGCGGGAGGTGAAAGGGGACAGTCCGAGACAGATCCTAGGCGGGGTTAGGGGTTAGGGGGAAAAGCATCACAGGAAGCAGTAAAGATCCGGAGAAGCCAATGAGAGACCGGGCCCTCGGCGCGGATTCAGTAACCAGCGGTCACCGGGGAAGCCCCAGTGTCCGGTCGTCCAGGACACTAAGGGCTGCAAGGTGCGATCCCCTTTCAGCCTCCTCTTGCCGCCTCCTCCACACCTCGCCCAAGGGGGCCGGAACGGCACCGGCTTGCGGGGGCTTTTCGGAGCAGTGGAGTGGAAAATAGACTTTAACCCTCTTTGTAGCTGCGAGGGCGCCCGGAGCGCTCCACCGGACCAAGGCTCACGGCATTCCGGTGGGCCGCTGCCAAGACCTGGCCTGGAGTTCCCACAGAGTTGTAGAGCCTCCTGCCCTTCGGGTTTCAGGAGGCTCAGCTCGAATGTAAACGCTCAGGCCCGTCGGACTCACCCCGGCAGCGACAAGAAAGCAGAAATTCTCTTCGATTTCCACCCCGCAAGCCCTAGGTCCGGACCCCTAACCCACAGCCTTCTTGGGCCACAGAACACTGGAAGGCTGGCGTGGAAAGTTTGCAGAGTGCAGGTTCTAATGGTCAACCGCCCTCTCGCCCTGGGGGCTTAGCGCACGCATTGGAAACTAGCCTGAGCAGACTGGCACACTGCCCTGCAGTCGCAGGAGGGAGGTAAATGTGTAAGAGGCCAGGTTGTCACTGCCACCCAAGGACCACTGGCCCGTCCTCTTGAGAGCGACGCGAGCAGCAAGGCCAGCTCCAATTTAGAAAACAGTGACCCAAAGACTCCAAACGGCCTGGTCATCAAACTCTGGAGCCCGAGGAAAGGAAATCGCTCGGCGTTTGAGACCCGCGGTCCATTGGGAGACGGTCGCCAGGAGGAGGCCTGGCGACACCGCTGCATTGGAGCGCGGCGAATTGCTGAGGAGAGCGATGGGTTCTGCGGCTTCCACCAGGACAGTGCGAAGCTGGCCCTTGCGAAAAGAATGCATGCCGCCCTTGAAGCGCTGTCCCCTCAAATATCCAGAAAACACGAGATTTCAGGGACATGACCGCAGCTTCAGAACAGAGCTCCGGGGCCGACGGTGGGTGAGCAGGAAGGTTCCCTTAGGTTAGGCGAACGCGGAGCAGGTTCTCCAGAGAATCTAGGCTGGACCCCAAACATCCATCCTATTCTGGGATCCAAGTTCTCTAGGAACTGAACCGACATCCCAGGACGAAAGAAGGGGGTTCACCTGAGGTACACGCTAGAAAAGGGGTTGATGCTTTTCCTCGAGCCCAGGCTATGCAGATGTCCCCTTCAGACCAGGCTCTGGAGGCATATAAAGGGCCGAGTCAAAGAACCAAGATGCAGAGAGCGGGTGGAGGGAGGACACTATCAAGTGCCGATGTTCCAGTCCGGTTTTTGCCTCCGACTGGGGACCGCATCCCCACCCGCCATCTATCGCCCCGCCCCGCCCCGCCCCCCACCTTGGGGCAGGTGAGCGGCGGCCAATGGGCGAGCGTGGGGCAGGTGCCCGCTAACTCTCTCCAAGCAGAGCTGCTGCTGAGGCCTGGCTGGGCAGTGCTTGGAGGATCGCGGGCGGGGGTCGGTCGCGGCGTGACTTGTAAGGGAGAGAACCAGAAGGAAGCGGCACACTCGGCCCGCGCCCGCGCGGTTTCTGGGAGCTGCCCGCTGGGCCGCGGGGACAACGCTCCGGGCGGTGCGCAGACGCCCAACTCGGTGCTGGGGCTCTCGCACTCCCCTCGCCGCTCCGCGCCTGGCTCGCCCGCAAGGGCCGAGCGCGGGCGGGCGGGCGGGGGAGGTGAGGGGTGCGGGCGTGAGTGCATGTGCCTGGCTCGGTGCGCACCCCGCAAGGCGGTAGCGCCAGGGCACCGAGCACTCCCCGAAGCCCCGCTACCTCACTCCGCTTCGGCGGCCGCGACCATGTTCCAGCCTGCGGCCAAGCGGGGTTTCACCATAGAGTCCTTGGTGGCCAAGGATGGTGGCACCGGCGGGAGTCCTGGCAGCGGGGGCGCGGGCTCCCATTCCCTGGCTGTAGCCGCCCCCGAGGAACCGCTCAGGCCCACAGCGCTCAACTACCCTCACCCCAGCGCGGCCGAGACGGCCTTCGTGAGTGGCTTCCCGGCCGCCACCGCCGCGGGCGCCGGCCGCTCGCTCTATGGAGGGCCCGAGCTGGTGTTCCCCGAGGCCATGAACCACCCGGCGCTGACGGTGCACCCGGCGCATCAGCTGGGCGCCTCCTCGTTGCAACCCCCTCACTCGTTCTTCGGCGCCCAGCACCGGGACCCTCTCCACTTCTACCCCTGGGTGCTTCGGAATCGCTTCTTCGGCCACCGCTTCCAGGGTGAGTGTCCACGCTGTGTCCGCGAGCCGGGGGTGCGCGGGAGGGCCGGTGCGGCGGCGGGGCTGTAGAGAAGTTCTCGCAGACAGGGCTCCGGGATCAGCCTTGACTGTGCGCGGACGGTTAGACTGTTCTGTGGGTCTCTCACCCGGGAAGTGAAGGCTGGGACCGCCTCACTTTCCAAGGAATGAGGTGGGTTGGGACCCAAGCCCAGCAGCATCCCTGAAGCTTTCCAGACCCTGCTTGGGCCAATCTTGCTTTCCTTTACAACTAAACCGGTCCCATCCTTGCAAAGTGCGGGGCCACGCGCCCTTCCCGCGCCAAAGCTTTGAGCTGTGACCGTACTTCGCTCCCGTGGTCATCGCCACCGTTGTGCGTCGGGGCAGGGGAAAAGTCCACCTGCACGCCTGGCCCCGTAGGAAGCCGGGCAGCCTGTTGTGTTCACTCGGCCGTCTTGGGACGTTTTTCAGCAACCTCCGCCAGACTTCTTCCAGCCACATGTGACCTTTCCGACCCAAAGTAGGGAAGGCTTGCAATAAGCAAACTGGCTTTCTTCGCCACTGACCCCTTCCGGGAGCCCACCCGGCTGCCAGGAGCTCAGGATAGTCCTCTTGAGGTGGGGGGGAGTGGCGGAGGAGGGCTTTTACGGTCATATCTGGTCCCAGCTCCCCTCCACTGCCCCCGTCTGCAGCCGCAATTGGTTTGCTAATTAAGACCCATCCAAAAACCTTACACACACACACACACACACACACACACCAGTTATCTAACGATCCTTTAAAAAAGAGTCGTGTTTATTGCAAATTGTTTTCTTCCTTGGATTTGTAGTTTTCCCTTCTTTCATTAAAAAAAAAAAAAACGAACGAAAATATTGGCCTTGATTCCTGTAGCAATTGCTTCAGTTCCCACTTTGAAATAGACTGGACCTCTAGGCCTTCTGAGTTTTCATAGGTAAATTCAGCGTTTCATGAAACAGCAGGAAAATAAAACAAGGCTGGCACTTCGGCTCCAACAGCTATCTTGACAGTAAGCCAGAGCTACACGGCCAAAGTGAATCTGAGATTTGATACAAATATTTATACGATAAAAGAAAAAAACCTTTCTTGAAGCTTTAGCTATTTGGAAAGGGCCCCTGATATGTCAGACAATGACCCCAGTCTTACCTGGACACCACATACTAGCGGAGAAAAATCCCGTGGATCCAATGGTGTAATAACTTCAGAGAGTATTTTTGTGGGCAGATTTTTCTCCTCAAAGATTTGCCCAGGCGGGAGGCGGGGAGCCTACGGTATTAGCGGCTTTAAGTAACATTTCCCATCACTTAACATCAATGCTTACTACTAAAATGAGGCTTTAGTCAAATTTAGCTAACTACCTGTGTCCCTCGGTGGGCTCTATCTTTAACTTCGCGCTCACTGGCGGAGTTTTTGAGTCTTCAAGGTTGGGAGCCCACGGCTGGAGGGCTTTGGATTGGTAAAGGGTCAGGAACCCTGGAAGAGCGGGTGCTGCAGACCCCTAGCCTTGTCCAGAGGCTCAGCACATTCAAGATGCCTCCTGGATGGGGCTTTTCCGCCCTTAGTCTGGTGTCTCACCGTCTTCTTTTCACCTTTCGCACCTCTGGCCTCGCTTGCTGATCCCGCTCGCCCGGGGCTGGCGGTGCCGTTAAGAGAGATCAGCCCTCGGGCTCGGAGCACCCCCCAACCAGGCGAGCCCAATACATCCTCCGCAAAACCCTCTCGGAAATTTTTGCTGCTCTGAGCCGTCCGTCCCGGAGGACACGTTGTGGAGTTCCACAGGCGCTAGGCTTTTCCTCTCCAGAACCGCGTCTCGGCGCGGAGAGGGTCCAAGTGTGGCCGCGCTTGCGAACTCGAAGGTGCGTTGGACGCTGACCTTTTCTACTCCAAGAAGCCGCAGCCCTGTGGCCCGGTTCGGGCAACGCTGCCTTATCCCGACCCCGCCGGGCCTCGGGGCTAAACCCAGCGGACCCAGGCCCTCCGGCGCCGTGTTTTCTAGAGAACCGGGTCTCCGCGATGCTCATTTCAGTCCCGTTTTGATGCGAGAAACAAAACCCTACAAGAACGAAAAGAAAACGAGTCCGTGTTCCGTGCGCAGGGCTCTCCGGCAGCGCCAGCCGGTCGCCCGTAGAAGCCGCTTCTCCCCTAAGCAAAGAGGAAAAGCCGGGGTGCGCGGTCAGGACCTCCGAGCTGGGGGCCAAACGAGAGGAACACGCGAAGATTTAGCGAGGTTAGCGTCGTTTCGGCGATTATTTCCCAGAGATTAGGAACTTTCTGAATTGGAGAGCTACGTCTGAAAGGGACTAAGGGAGACCCAGCCCTCCCAACCCTGAGGCGGTTGTGGGCACTAGCTTCAAAGGGCGCCTTTGTTCAGACCGGAGGAGGGAGGAGGTTATCTCTGCTTTACTGTCAACCTCTCCCGGTTCCAGCTCCAGGCAGTTCCGCCGGGGCACAGTCTCCAAGACTGTAGCTAAAGCGGCCTTTCCATCTAGGACTGCAGCTCCAGCCCACGGGCGCTTCGGATTCTTGCTCCCGCTTCCTGCAGCCTGGTTCTTATTATCTCCATTGCTAGCTCCCAGCCATCGCCTTGCAGAGAGGCCTGCAGGGAGAGGATGTGGGAATTTTCAAATCCTAACCCTTCATTCCAGGGAAGGATAGGTTCAAGTTCCTTTCCTTTGGGTGTCTGAAGCTGACACCTTTTCTCAAAGCCTGAAATTACGGGCACCCAAATAGGCTACATCCCAGCCACTAGCTGTTCTGGCCTGTGGCCAGAGTTAAGAACTGTATAGGCTCCCCTGGAGGTGGTAGGGAGGGGTGGACCCTTCCTTACCCGCAAGTCAAAGAGAAAGCATCCAGACACCTTGACACCCGTGTCCTTACAGAAACATGTAGCCATTGATTATTATCGACGGATGCTTAGTTGTGCGCTAAACATCATCTCTCTCACTGGAAAAAGCTTTGGTGTTTCTTTTTTTTTTTTTTAATCAAGTAACTTGTCATCATTTATCAGTATTTTGGGTAATTTCATAGCCTCCGGCTTTTTTCACAGTTGGGCCAGGAAGACCCTGTGCTTCAGTGCATGCATAAGAACACACACTGGGCACATGCTGACCACTGTACACTAGGACCTGGACCCAGCAAGACTGAGGACTGGAGGCAAAGAAGCTTTGGGTCAGGAAAGGGCTCGGTCTGGATACCCCCATCCTATGACGTTTAAAAAGACAGACAGCACTTTCCTCCACTTCACAGATGACTGACATTCCCCAGCACCTCAGTACAGCCGTTACAGAGCACTGCAGCCCAGTTTTGCTTTCTCAGCTCTGCACTTCCCTGCATACCTCGGCATCCCACTCACTCAGAGGTTAGGCCAGACAGCAACTTCGACCAAACCCTCTGAATGCTGAGATAAACAGGCCCCTCCCCACAGCCTCCTCTCTGGCTCATTTGTCCAGAGGAAATCCAGTTGGGGCTTTACCTGGACTCTGAACAATGTGGACTTTTGAAGCCATTTATTCCATTAAGGCTTCTCATCCACTTCTCTCAGCTTTCCCTGGACTTCCAAGACTTTGAGTCTTCTTATTCCATCCAGGAGTGGGCTTCCCCTCCCCTCACCCCACCTTCTCTAGCTGTGCCTCTACTACCCAACTGAAACTCCTCCTTCAACCAGGCCTGAGGATCCCAGGTCTGCTCTTACCACTATGGTTTAAGGGTAGATGTTCATCCCCTCATCCTGCTGCACAGTAGTGCAGATGCAACTCTTAAAATGGGTCCATTCCAGACAACTGTGTTCCAGAGAAGATTTCAGCAACTCAGTTGACTGGCCTAGTTTTCAACTCGGTTTCCAAAGCCCAGGGACAGTCGGGGGCAGTCACAACCAGTAGAGAAATGGTTAGTCTACTAGCTGGCTTTTTAACAAGGGTGCCTCCTGACATGAGTGCTTTGCTGACATCGCTGTTTCTGGAAGCGGGAGCCCTCATCTGGGTTGTCCAGATTACTGTCGTCAAAGTAAAACAGGAGGTCCAAATGAGTCAACCCAGTAGCCATCTCTGAAGAAATTAATTGGATCAGTTAGTCTCAACAGCTAACTCTGTCAAAACATTCCATCTAGGGCTCTGTGTGGTTGGGTCAGGCGAACTGATACAGGCCACTCTGTGTGGACCAGTGTGTGATGGTCTCATGGCTTTTTTTCGAGTCTCTGAGAATGTGCAACTGTGTGAGGGCCCATGGTGGGGGAGGTGCCAAGCCAGGGGCTGTGAATAGAAGCCTGCCTTAGCTTTTATATTTCCTGACCACCACCCCACTCTTATTCAGTCCTCTTCAGTGTAGGAGCAGAGTGTGGGAGCTTTGCCAAAGGACAGTCACACTCTGAAATCTTGTACAGTAATGGGAGGAAAAGATGGAGGGGAAGCTGGAGTATATATTTACACACACCCATAGGGAAATGAATATATCTGTATATATCTATATATGAGGAGAACAGCTTCTAGATAGTTACTTCCATCTTCTTTCAGATCAGGACTACTCAGGGAGAAAAAGAGGAACCTTTCCCAAGAGAAATGCTTCCATTCTCCCAGCCTTCCATTATGCACTTGCCTTCACAGTGTTTAAGGTTTGAGGAGAGTAGGGAGAAGAAGTAGATTTGAGAAGTAGGGGTCTGCCTGCTTGCCGACCCTAGCCTTCTTTTACCCCCTGCAGAGTGGAGTCCAGGCCTGTGTAGGATTTTTCAGCAGGCTAGCCTGCGTGCTTAGATGCAGGAGTACTTTAAGCACATCTTAGTCTTTAGACAACTTCTAGTTAGTCTTCCTATTAGACTTGCTCCTCTCCCAACACCTTTCTGACCCTTCGCCCTGTCCTCTGTATATATTTCGTCTGGGAGAGGGACATTTCAGAACAAGATAATTAAAAGCTAATCAGTTGTTGGGGCCCTGTTGGAGACAGCGCTGTAAGGGCTCAAGAACAGACCTAAGGGACTTCTGCCATCCCTTGGCCTTTTTGCTGCCCCTGGCAACGTTGGATTTGGGCCTGTCGGGCCCTCATCAGGCCTGGGCTCGCCTTTTGGCTCATGTCTGGATTCTGCTTGTCCCCTGAGGGTATCTCTGCAGTGTGGTTTCAGGGCTGCAGCAAGGGAAAGGGGAAAAGAGGATGAGTTATCAGGATTGCAGAGGTAGCAGGGCGCTCTGGCAGAGGCCTGCGACTCACCTCGCCCCTTCTCTCTGTCTGTACCCGCGTGTGCTGCTGTCGCCTCTGGGCTGCAGCCAGCGACGTTCCCCAGGACGGGCTACTTTTGCACGGGCCCTTCGCTCGCAAGCCCAAAAGGATCCGCACGGCCTTCTCGCCCTCGCAGCTGCTGCGGCTGGAGCGAGCCTTTGAGAAGAATCACTACGTGGTAGGAGCCGAGCGAAAACAGCTGGCCGGCAGCCTCAGTCTCTCCGAAACGCAGGTAAGCATTTAAGCATTCTCTCCTATCTTCTGTGGTGGACGGTTGGGTACAAGTCTCTCTACCCTCACCCTCGGATTCCAAAAGCCACCTGTGGCGTCGCATCCCTGAAAACCCTATCCTTTCTCTGGGCTTGCCCTGCTAAATCTCAGGAGTCTTGTTTTGTAATGAGATAGGATCTCACTACGTAGCCCAGGCTGGCCTGGAACTCGCAGCAATCCTTCTGTCTCTGTCCCCTGCATGTTGAGATAGCATACATAAACCAATCCACCCAGCTTCCCTGTCTTATAATCAGCGCTAAGGATCCTACCAGAAACATAGTAGGTAAAATTTGGTCCTCTGGGTGTGCCCAGGCCTCAAAGGTCCCTCACTCTGGTCTAGGAGACACAGGACCCACAAGTCTGGGGGGAAGATCCTGTCTTCTCTCCTGGCAAAGCTGAAGAGACCTCAGTTGACCTCCAGCACCTGTGGTGTCTGGACAAAGAAAGCCAGAGTCCGCTTGGCAACAGAAGGAATGAGGCAAGGAGAGGTCAGCTCCTAACTGGAGTCTGAGAATGACCCTGATCCCCGCTCAGGCCAGCTGCTAGGGCTTTGAGAAATTTGACAGTTTGCTGTCAACCCTATCACCATAAAAGTGCTTTGGGAGCTGAAACTGGTTGTGGGAGTGGATTCCGTTGCTCTTCAGGGGCTTGAATAGGTGACATTACAATTCCCAGGTAGAGTTTTGTAACCGATTATTTGAGAGAAAAAATTAAAGACTTCTAGAGAACTGTCAAGGAGGCAAATGTGTTTTTTGTAAGAACCTTGCTTTACATGAATGCTGGGTGGCAGTGCCATTAAATGCTTGGTCCCTTCCAGCGTGCCAGGACTGGAGCATCTGAGGAACTCTCAGCCTGGCTGCTGTGCTGGTTTAGGTCTGCAGACCCTGCCAGCTCCCAGATGCTGACTTTTTCTCTGGCTGGTGCTGTACCTTCAGCTGCTTCTTCCTCCTATTCTACTCCTGTTATAGTCCCCTGCCACCACTCTGTGGGCTGCCTGTGCTGTCCCATTCGCTGCTGGGGTAACAAAGGGCACACCTCCTAGCTGTCCCAGCTTCCCATACTCATCTCACCCACCTTTTGGCTTTTGGCTACAGTATCTGGTACCCGTATAACAGTTGCATTATGGCCCCCTTCCAGGCTACCACAGGACCGCAGAACCTGTAGCTTTTCAGAACTGCTAATAGACAGCTCTAACTGAAAAAAAAAATCTTACAAAGCAACACAGTTAGTTTAAAAAACTGTTTTAAGGAAAGCAATGTTTAAAAAATAAGCTAATAAAATAACACCTCTTCTCCCTCCTGGCAAACAGTGCTTTACAATTATTGTTTAAAACAAGGTGTCAACTTAAGAATGGTGTTTATAATTAACTTCATGTAAAAAAGTAATATTTATTAAATGTTAATTGCAGAAATGTAAGAAAACAAAACAGTTTATAATTCTACCACCCACAGATTAGCACTTGTTGAAATCATGTCATTGTTTTTAAACTTTCCAATTTTTAGCTCAGTGAGAACATGTTTAATTAATTTTCTTTCAAACTGAATCTAACTTCCTGTCAATTTTAGCTTCTAACAATGCCAGTTTATAGTTCATAGGCCGGTTGTTGCTTTCATTTTTATTATGTGACATTTCAAACATTTTTATTATGTGACATTTCAAACATGCATTTAGAATAAAAGCAAAGAGAATAGTACAATACGTCTAGGCCTGCTAACCATCAGGCCTCTTAGCAAAGCTGTCCCTGCAGGGTGGGCTTCTTTTTACAAACAGAACAACAACACCCCTCTCCCATTGAACAGCCACCTGAAGGAACTCAGAACTTCCATATAGCCCAGGCAAAGGCCCTGATGTGGAGAGACGGGGCTAAGCAGAGTGCCCAGGTCAGGCAGATGTGACTGCAAATGCCTCTGTCTGCTGTGCACAGTGGACAAGTTGCTTAAACTCTCTCTGTTGTTTCTTAGTCCAGAAAATATGTTGTCTGAGGGTTAGAGGTATCTTACATGAACTCCAGAAACATCCATTCTAATTCCTTGTCATTCTCTTTGTTTAATTCATCAAACTAGAAGCATGATAAAGACCCTGCTTAGGTGTCTCCTAGGCCAATAGTCTTCCTGCCACAGTCAATACCCACCATCAGTTACCTTTCTGTTGCCCTTGTAACTTATTATTAGAATTTACACTATATAATTAGCTAACCATCCACCTCCCAGTATTTGCCATGCAAGCCATGCAAGCTCAGCTGTCAGTTTCGGTTATCTGCTATTAGTCCAGTATGTTTTACTCCAGTCAGCTCCCTGCTGTGTGTTTTCAACATGATACCTACATCAACCAGGCCTCAGTGCTCTGCCCCTCACATGTAACTGCTTTTATCTAGCGACCTGCATCTGTCTATGCTCATTAAACTCTCTCCCCAAACTGGTAAATTTCTGTTTTCTCTAAATTACATGCTTTTCTTCCTAACAATAACCTCCATGTACCCATCTGTTGACTATCTCATGCATGTTGTTGTCTGTGTGTCCACCCTCCATCTCTGGAGAGCTATCAGCAACTAACAATATCTTCATACGCCTGCCGATGATTATCCATCATCCTGTCAACTCAGTGCTGGCTCAGACTTCTCCCCAGGCTTCAGTTGCCACATTGCTGAGGTTGAATGAATTAATAAATGCCAGGGTCCTCTCCAGCCCTGAATTTCTGAGGCTCATCCATCCACTTACTACCTCTGACTTTCCTGGAGAGAGAGAGAAAGAGAGAGAGAGAGAGAGACTCCCTCCTCCATGCTCCCAGAACTCACAGTGTCTCCCTTGCTTTTCCTAATGTGCATCATATTTTGCTGCTATGACTTAATTATCTGTCATGTCCCTATGTCAATCTGTAGATCACTTGCCTCCATCTCTCAGGGAGATCTTAAAATACAGGGATACCCAGGAAATGCCCCTAGGACATCCAAGATGCAGTCCAAGGGAGAAGCATTTTCCCACAGCTCACCGGGTGGTTATGATGAACAATAGGTCTGAGCATCTTGGTTGTGGAAAGCAGAGGTCAAGTCATAGGACCTGGCACAATGCCCAGCATGGAGTAGATATTTAGTGGCTGTGTACTGAAATAGAGCCAGGCACGGGGCTAGAGAGATGGCTCAGTGGTTAAAAGTACTAGCTGTGCTTCAAGAGGACTGGGGTTCAATTCCCAGCACCCATATGGCCACTCACAACGATGTATAATTCCAATTCCAGTGGATCTAACACCCTCTCTTGGTGTCCGTTGGCACTGTGTACGCTTGTGGTACACACACACACACACACACACACACACACACACACACACATGTAAAACATTCACACACATAAAATAAAAATAAAAAAAAATTCAGTCATGAAGGCTGGCATACATTTATAATCCCAGCACTTGGGAGGTAGATGCAGAAGTTCAAGGCTATCCTGAGCTATACTGAAACCAGCCTGTTCTTTGTAAGGCCCTGTCTCAAATCAACAAACAAAACACTTGAATGGGCAGGCACGTTTCTTTTGATTTCCCCCAAGGCCAGACTTTATCAGTCACTCCTTTGCTCTCTGCCTTGGCTGCTCCCTCACTGTCTTGCCCTGTCAGTTGTCAAGTCATACTGTCGTACCTGGCCACTGGTTTTGATGGTATAAATGCAGTCTATAGGTAAGTCTGAGAGGAGAGCTCTGTTCTGGCAGAGCTCCAGCTTGAGGTATTGGGAGGTGGGTAGCCTGAGCTACCTGGTACTGAGCTGTATAGCTTAGCTAGAAGTAGCATTCGTGCTGGGATGGTCAATGAGGTGTTCAATCCAAGTGGTGGAAGGACGGGCCCTAGGCCATTCTTTTGGTTGTACTCAGCTGCTTCTCACCACTGTGGTGCAGCTCGGGAGTATGACCGAGAAGGCACTCATCTAAGCTTGCATCCATGTGCTGCTTGGCAAATCTAGACCTGGGTCAGATCAGCACCTCTAGCAGCATGAGGGTGTGTGCCCACCATATGAGACACCTGAAGGCTGACTTCCACAGACACCTAAAGGTCAGGTAATACCTCCAGTAGGTACCCGTCGGTACAAGCAGGCAGCCACAGGACACATGGGAGTGAACGCTGTTCCTGGCTAATTAAGAGTTCCTGTGACCCCTAGAATAGACCAGTGGTGTTGCTTAAACTTGTCTGCCTTTTACTTTTGCTGAGCTGTGAAAAAAGCAGAAAATGTGGTCTTGGGCCTCGCAGTCTTCACATAACGGTGAAGGCAAAATGCAAAGTGTGCATGCCTGCAGGACAAGCATAGAGAGAGCAACTGGAATCCTCTTGAAGTCACAGCTCAGGCTGATGGAGATCAGAGGAGACCTGACAGGTGGGGGGGAGGTTGCCTTCCTAGGCCTGGAAGATTTGGATGAGTGTGTGGGATTATAGGTGGAAGGGGAGGAAGACAAGGATTTGAAGAGGGCAAATTAAAATGGAGATGGAAGTGCCATCTTGGGGCTTGAGAGCAGGGATGGAGAGGGGTCTTGAGAAGCTCACTTATTTCTTTACCTCCCTAAGGGTTTTCCTCACAGACATTCCAGCTGGGTCCTTCCTGCTCTGGAATGTTCTGCCCTTGGAGGGATGGGTACTCAGCAGATAGCCAAGTGACTTGAATCTTAGGGAAAAGCCAAAAAATCTTTGACAATAATTCACTGTGGCTCTGAGATGACATGTCCCTTCTTCTAAGTCCTGGCTCAAGCCTTTCCACATTCCTGATAGTCTAGAAGTCTTATGTGGTGGGGAAAGGAGGAGCCAAGAGAGATGGAAATGGTTCTCTGTGGTTCCGTGACAGGGACACAGGCCTGTGGCAGTTGATTTTGATAGAGTGAGGGAGAGGATCTGGGAAAGGTGGAAGGAACAGGATACAAGATGGAGCAGAGAGGGCTAAAGGGAGTGAGGAAATTGGAGGTGACCTCAGCTTGGGGGAGCGAGGTTTGAGCTGACTCTGAGAGCAGGAAGACTGACATGATCAAATGATAGGAAATGGATCCCCAGGAGAGGGCAGGGAAGAGAGCAGGCTGAAGGGTGGCTTGATTGATGTCTCCAAGCTGCTGTCTATTCTAAGGACTTTCTCTGCATCTGAGACCGACAGACTACGATGACATGCTTAAATTAAAGCAGAAGAGAGCACAGTAGAACATAAGGAGGAACTTCCCATGTCAGAGTTACCAGATCTTGACAGGGATGTTTGGACTTCTTGAAGATGGGGCAGGGTCTTCCCTGGAAAGTATGCAGGCACCTGGGGCTGAGAGGCTGAGACTGGAGAATGGTGAGAAAGGTGGAATGAACCTCCCTTTGATCAAAACAGCAGATTACTCAACAGTTAAATGTGATGAACCCCAAAATACTAACAGAAGCTGTTTTCCATTTATTTGTAAACTCCCTGTCCATCCATTCATGTATTCACATATGCCTGTCACCACCATAACACATAGTGACTTGTCCTCTGGGGAAGCGGTCTGTTGGTCCATCCGAACAGATTCTTGTTCTTCATCCAGCCTGACTCAAGGTGGGCACCGCCCCTCTCTACAGTGGGTCTCTCTCCACCAGCTTCCACCAGCAAGTGGTTAATCTACCCTCTCCTGCTTCCTTGTGCTCATTTTGGTTTGAGATTCCTGTGTACGCATCTCCTATCCAGTCTAGTTTTATTTTTGTTGCTGCCACCAAAATATCCTGACAAAAAAACATCGTGGGGGAGGAATGAGTTTATTTGGTTACAATTCCAGGCTACAGACCATCACTGAGGAAAATCAAAACAGGAAGTCAAAGCAAGGACTTGCAGGTAGTAGGTCTGCTGGCTATTCCACACAAGGTAGCCTTTAGCCAAGGAACTCCCTTCACAGCCAAAGAAGTGCAGCAGGAAGCATTGAGGATGCTGTTTTCTGGATAGCAGCAGGTTTATGCTCAGCTAGATTTCTTATACAGTTCAAGACCACCTGTCCAGGGAATGGTGCCACCCACAATGGGCTGTGCCTTCCTACATTAATCAACAATCAAGACAATTTCCCACAGACATGGCCACAGGCCAATCTGATTAAGACAAGTCTTCAGTTGAGATTATCATCTCAAAAAATTCTAGGGTGTAGTAAGTTGGCAGTTAAAGCTAACCAAGACAGCTCGGTTTCTCCCAAACCAACTAGAATTAAAAATTGATGCTCAAGCTAGCTTGGTCTACATAGGGAGTTCCAGGCCAGCCAGAGCTACATCATGAGACCATGTCTCAAAGAAAACCAAACCCAAAACAAAACAACCCCCTAAAAAACAACCAACCAAAAGAACAAAAACAAACAAAAAAACTCTTTTGCAAAAGCATGTCCACTAAAGGACCTTGCATTTTAGTACTTAGCAATTCCCCAAGCCCCTTTTCTGAATCATTCCAGTCCCACTTCTGCTGATTTACCAGATCTGCCTCTGGCACCACTTGCTTGCAGTACAATGTTGAGTGCTTCCCCCACCTGTCCAACTGGATGGTCATGGCCTTCTAGGCCTTGGGACTCAACTCCAAAACCAGAGAAGACACTCTAAGGCTCTCAGAGGCCAAATCAGAGGTCCAGGTTATATAATCCAGGATGAAATAGGGAGTCCCAGAAGGGTCTATCTGGCTTCGCTAAGAAATGGAGAGATACTCAGTGAAGCGGGAATCAGGAGATCACAGGAGCTTCTCCCCCAAACCACAGGAGTCATTTGGGTGGGTGGGAGGCCTCCAGCCAAAATTCCAGGCATGATTTGGGGGCTGAGAGAGGTGTTGGCATGGGGAGAATGTATAATCAGCCTTCTCTAATTGGCTCCCATGGAGCTGGTAGCCTTACTATGTCACCTGCCTTCCTTCCAGGGTCTCCCCCTCTAGCAAAGGGGTTGACCCCAGAGTTGCCCAGCTGCGTTAAGTTATAGGTTATCACTATCAGCTCCTCTTGCCCTTTCCAAGGGAAAAAAAAAGAACTCTTGATATCAGTAATGGGCTAAAAATCATTTCAGAAAAGTTAAGGGAACAAAGAAAAATCATTAGTGGATTGGGTCCATTCCCTTCTGTTCTGTCTCGCCCATGCATAGATGTTTGTCTCTCAGGGCTGTGACTGCACTGTACCAACACTGTTCGTCCTGGCTTTTGTACTATTATAAAATCACAACCATCCCTGTTATTACAGGCTTTAGAAAACTGTGTCTGGACACCCAGCCTAGGACTGCTCTGCAGGAGATAGCCAGGTGGCCCAAGAAGAGGTCTGCACCCTGGCAGAGAGAGACAGACAACACACAGAGATAGACAGAAACAGACAGAGACAGAGCTGCTTTCTAGCCCCCAGCATTTGAAATAGGATCTCATGTAACTACAGCTAGCCTCAACGTCACTATATAGTTGAGGATGACCTAAAACTCCTTATCCTTCTCCCTTTCCTTCCAAGCGCTGGGACTATAGACATGCACCGCATGTGTGGGGTTGAAGCTCGACCACAAGGCTTGGTGCGTACTAAGCAAGTACTCTACCAACTGAGCTACAGCTACAGCCTTGATGACTTTAGTTCTCTTATGAAAAAAAAAAAAGTTGGAATTCTCTTTTGTGTGGTGTACCAGGGTGCTGTAAGTCCTGAAGCCATGCCCTGGGCTTCTACTCGGCCACCGGTAGTTTCCTTCTTTGGGAGGTTTCCAGGCAAGGGTAGCGTGCTGGATCTGTCAGTCTGTAAAGACTTGAGGATGAGGGAAAGGGGAAAGGTGCAGAAAGTGACACTCTGTGTCTGGATGTTGTCCACTGCCACCTAAAACAGCTTGCATCCAGCCCACTTTGGACTTGTCAGATACGACATCCTGTACACAGCTCTGAGTCATCCACCCACTGGCTGGCACAGTCATAGTGTGCTCTGGGGTGGAGGGCAGGAGCGGGGCTGGCTGCCAGTGGTGTGCTGAGAACCATCTAGGGCCTAGGTGGGCATGGACTCCAGAAGCCTTGAGCTCAGAGCAGCCAATGTCCTTCCCTGTCTCCCTGAAGAGAGGTAAAAAGGCTACAAGTTTGAACCCTGCCTTGGAGAGGAAGGAAGGAGTCCCTTGTCCTAACTTCATCCATCAAGGCTGGGTGCTGGGATGCTTCCTGGACTAGCTCTGTCTTGAGCTGGTAGCATTTGGAGCACTAAGCACCAGTGTTCCCACCTCCAACCTAGTGGCAGGACAGATGGCTCAGTGGAGGCCTTTGTGAACAGGGATTGTAAGAACCTGCAACGGCCTCATGATGGAGAGGAAGGGTGTGTGAGGTTGGCACTGCCTGGGCATCCGACAGCCAGGATACCAGGCCCACTCTGGCTGCCACTGCCACTGCCTACAGGCTGTGTGTGCTTGGGCTTGTTGCTAAGGGCTGCCTTCATCCCTGCCCTGGGTTCTAGATTCCCCTTTAATAGTCACTGCAACTGGCAGAATTGACTGCTCACCTCCACGGTACACAAACAACTTGTGAACGTCGTCTGCACAGCCACAGCACACAGCCTTTGCTCGTTTTCAGCTGTGCTAGTGGTCCCAGGGAAACATCACAACTTGCGATTCCATTGCCCCACACCCCCTACCCAAGGGATCTACTGCCTTGGAGCAGCAAGGGTTCCCAAAAGCATCTCTCCAGAGAAGAGACTTAGCTGAGGAGGGTACCCAAATTCTTCCTGCCGGCACCAAGGAGGAGTTGGGCCTGGCTTATCTACAAGGCCAAGTAAAGAGATGTACAATCAAAGCAGGTGAACTGACGCTTCTTCCATGGTGTGAAAGCACTGAGGGGGCATGGGAAGCCACCCATGGGAGGATGTGAGAACTGCATCATGGACACCCAGTAATGCTGGGAGAGAAGAAGGAAGGCGAGAGGAAGGAAGGATGGTAGAGATGGAACTAAATGGGGCTTCCTGGAGGTGCCTAGAATCCCAAGCCCGTTCTTCTCATCATAGACGATGCTTGTGCATGCCCCACCCTTCTTTTTACAGGGCCTCCCACTGCCTGGCATAGAAGTGAGGACTGCCTATGTTCAAATCAGCACCCACTTCTGTCTCCAATTATCTCTTCTGTTCCTTGTGTGACCTGTGACACACAGGGGCCAGTGTTATTGGACCAGGAGGTACAGTGCTGACCCTGTGTATAGAGTAGGGCCTCAGACAGAACCCCTCATAGTTGTCTGTCCAAGGAGGTCAGAAGATCCTGGGTAGATTTTTAGACTCCCCTGAGGAGCTGGCACCTGAGAGACTGGGGTTCTCTCATCACGCAGCTCTGTCCTGCATAGTTATACTTCTGAAGTGGGTAGGAAAATTTCACACAGAACCACTCATCCTAGGATGAGTAAGGCTGACAGCATGTGAGCTTACAGTATCCAGCAATGGTCTCTGGGATCTTAGACATAGTCTGACTGTCACGGGCCATGTTCTTGGTATAAACATCACCTCCAGGTTAGGAAGCATTGCCTGGCTCTGTGTAGCAGTGTGGGACTATCACAGGAGATGGAGCATGCTTTGGGCCCTCTGGGGATGACTACCTCTTCTCTGGAGACTGGCAGAGCCCTGGCCTGTTATGCCGTCTTCTGCCAGCTCACTGCAGCTGCAGGGACCAGGAAGCTCAGCAGCCAAACCCCCTCCTTTGTCTTTGAGAGTATCTGGAAAACTGCCCTTGGGCTAGCTCAGTTCTTTCCCTAACTTTCTCACTTGCATCTGAAAAGCAGTCCTCCAGACCTGTCAGGTGGCAGATGCCTGGAAGAGAAAACCCTGGCCTGTGTAGCCTCAGTTCCCCCATCTGACTTCCATCTAACTTCAGCGGGAGTATGGAGGCCATCCTGGCTGCTTTGGGTGTTTCTTACCTGTGCCCCTCCCTCCTGGCCCAGGTGAAGGTGTGGTTCCAGAATCGGAGGACAAAGTACAAACGGCAGAAGCTGGAGGAGGAAGGGCCCGAGTCTGAGCAGAAGAAGAAGGGTTCCCATCATATCAACCGGTGGCGCATCGCCACGAAGCAGGCCAACGGGGAGGACATTGATGTCACATCTAATGACTAGGGGAACAATCGCGAGCCCACAAGGGCAGAGCATTGCTTGCTGCTGGCTGGGGCTCCAGAGGGCCCAAGCTGGACTCTGGCCAGTCCCTAGCCAAGCTGCAGGGAGGCCTGGAGTCACGGCCCCACAGGGCTTGGAGCCTAGGGCCATCACTGTCAGAGGGACAAGAAAACAGGCTGGCTGAGGCCTGGGACTGCTCAGCCTTCTGGTGGAGAGCCCGCTGCTGGGGTGGGCTGCCCATCTCTGCAGCCTCCCAGCTGCTCTCCATGTCTCTTTCTGTCTTTGTTTTGAGACGTTTCTGTTTTAATTTATTTTCCAGGTACCTGCTGTAGTTTTTAGTGATCCTCTCATGTTTCCCTTCCCTATGGAAATAATAAAAAGCTCTCTCTTAATGACATAGCCATCCATCTTCAACTGTAGAGTCTGGGCTGGCTGGTTTGGGTTCTCAGTGCAGTGGGGGCTGGTCAGCAAGGGTGCTCAGGGCCCAGGAAGCTGAAGGGAAGTCATGGAGGGTTAGGAGGCAAGAGATTCCTTAACACCTGCAGACTCCAGTGGCTTCTCCAGCTGAGCAGCATCTAGGGGGAAGGAGTCCTCGGTGTGGGCTGAGGAGGCCCCAGGCCCAGGCCCCACACACACACACATGCATCCGTCCTGAAGAACTTGAGGCACTCTTTTGTTTTGGTTTCTTTTTCAGACACAAGGTTTTATTCTGTTGGCAAGACTGGCTTCCAAGTCGCATCAATCCTCCTGCCTCAGCCTCCTGAGTGCTGGATTGTAAGTCTGAGCCACCATACCCGGTGTCATGGGTTTGATGGTGAGCTTGCAGAGGTCATCCAAGCTCAGAGACACCTTGGCTCACCAAAGAAAGGCAAGGAAGGTCCAGTGAACTCCTATCCATCTGCCTTTTAGTTTGTCTATTTGTCCTTCCCCCTTGACATTTTCCTCCATCCTGGAGAGGTTTGATTTGTGTTTCCAAAAGTCTTTCCCTCCCAACATCCAGGCCTTCCTACCTCTACTTCACCTCCCATGAACTTCCCAACTGTACCCTTTTGCACTCGGCTGACACGAACATCCATCACCAACCACTGCCCCAAGCTCCCCCTGTGGCCACATTCACCCACTTCCTGTCTGGATTGGTCTGTTTCTTCATCTGCCAGAATGCCCTCCTTGTACCCTAATCCCTTTGTCTTCATTTTGGGTCTCCTTTCACCACTTCCTCTGGTTCAGCCATACCTCACGTCTCTCCTATTCAGCTCATCTATTCCTGACTAGACAGTGATGTCCAGTCACATTTCACCAGTGCAGCCCCTCAGCTGTCCCTGCCACCTGCCTAGCCCTTGTCTGCTATCTGGAAAAAGCATGGCTTCTGTGACTATTAAAGAAGGTCTTCCATGCTGTGGCCAGGAGAGTTCTGTTCCTCCTGGTCAGGCAGTATCCTGTCTCCTCTTTTCTTGGTCCTGCACTGTGCAGATGCTTCTCTCCCACATTCGGCCTCTCCCGAGTTGTTCCTACTGTACCTGAGTGTCCCCGAGTGAGCTGCCACAGCTTTTGCTGGCCTGTGCTGTTCTTCCCATCTGGAATATTGGTGAGTACCCTGTGGACACCTGATCCATGCTTAAGGCCCCATTCCTGTTGCCTGGGATAAGTGCAGAAATCCAAGCACACAAGGTTCTTTTGCTGAGAAAACAGGCAGGTCGCATTGTCCTATGTTTTATGGGGATGTTTTTCTACTCTGTCTTGCTGATGACCACTCCAATTTCCAGAATCTGAAAGACTCTGTTTCTCCTGTCCCATCCTCCACCAAATGAACACATACCTTGAATCTTAAAAGTCCCACACTGGCTACATCTGAATTAAATCCTCAACAACTCCGTCTGCCAAGCAAGCGCAGGGTGTGTGTGTGTGTGTGTGTGTGTGTGTGTGTGTGTGTGTGCACGCGCGCGCGCGTGAACAGGGTGGGAGAGGTCCCCTTTCAGTTCTAGTGGGGGGACAGAATGTGGGAGCCCTTCCTCTGAAAATCCTACCCTGCTTGGTTTGGGGGTGTGGGGGGTAAAGTTGAGTGGGGGATGGGTCCTGGAAGATCACAGCAGAATACCCTGTCAAGAAGATAAAGGACTAGAAGGACCAGAAACCTGCCAATCTTCCTAGGCAGGCCTGCTGGGGTGGGGTGGGGAGCCCCTTCCATCCCCCCATGTTGTGCCTCTCCCGCAGACGGTAAATATTGGTGTTGTGACTTCATTAATAAAGGCTTCTGTGAGCCTGAAAAACATGGAATCAGGATGAACTATTTTCTGAGCTGTGGGCTTGCCAGGTTTGCTAATTTGGGAGTTTTTGGGCCCTCTCCAGGGAACAAACCAAAGTCTCTCCCGAAGAGACGCAGATGCAGCCGAACAGTGAGAAGACAGGACTGCTGCTCCTTCTCGTTCCTGGGTGCCTCCTGCCTGGAGGGGGGAGCTTCACAGAGCCAGAGAAGTGGACACTGGCCTCCTCCCCTGTATCCATGTCTGGGTGAGCTGCTGGTCCAGGCCTCTCTAAGCAATCCTGCTTGGCTACTTCTCATCAGTGGGGCTGACCTCCAGAGCCCTGTGGAATGATGGCCTGATTCTCCTGAGCACCTGTTAAGAGCACAGAGTTGCACAAGCCTCAAGTGTAGCAAGCAAGAGTTCTTAACCCTTCATGCCCAATCCATGTGCTTCCTCTCAGGGAACAATCATACTGCTTCCTCTCTTCCACAGAACTTTCCCAGACTGGCCTCTGGCCTCTCAGCAGCACGGAGCCTGGTCTCTACCAGTCTCTCCTCACAGGTGCTTCCCACGGGGCATCAAGCAATCTGACTGGAGAGCCAGGCTCTGTCCTAGAGCAGCTAGCTTGCCCATAAGCATCTTTGGGACTTTGCTCCAGGGCAGCCACACAGGGGGAGGGGATGGGGGCAGCAGGCTTAGCGGTACAGGCCCAGCCAGCTTTCCTGTCAGACAGCGCTGCCAAGGCGGAGCCAGACATCGGGAACAGGTTTAACCAATTACCCGAGCACCCCATCTGCTGTCTGGGGTTCGTGTGAGGGTGAGTGCATGTGAGGGTGTTTGGAGTGTCTGGGAGGGCTGTGGGCGTGCGTGAGAGTGTGACTGTGTGGGTGGGTGTGGGAGTGTGGCTGTGCGTGTGTACTGCGCACGTGCACAGAGTGTGGGTGCACATCCTGGCCATGGCCCCCTCATTTGTCCAAGACAAAGCTAGCAGCTTCTGGTCTTCCTGACCCCCAAGACCTTGAGATCTGAGTGGACAACCTGTCTAGCTCCTCAGCTTCTTGCTACCAGTTCTCCCTGTGCTTGGGAAGAATACTTTCAAATCACACATTCGGATGTCCTTTGCCAGGGTGCTCCTGCTGGCTTGTTCACTGTCCCACTCACATTAGTGTGGGACCCCACAGGATCCTCCCAGCTGTTCCCCACTCTCTTTGATATGCCCTAGTCCTACTATGCTGGCTTGTAGCAAGGCACCAGAGTTAGAAGTGTGCTCAGACCATTTCTAAACCATGAGGACAGCAGGTGATGGTTGTGCTGGTGACACCCTTGGCATCCAAGTTTCGTCTCAGCGCAACCCTTACTCTCTTTGATAAATTCATTCTTGCTCCCTAAATTTGAGGCCTTAGACTGTCACCCTCTCCCCAAGCCACTTCTATTACTGTGAGCAGAGAACTCTACTTTCATCTTTATTCCCTTCCATTTTTTCCTTTCTTCTCTCCCTCTTTCCCTCCCTCCCTCCTTTTTGAGACAGGGTATCATGTATCCCAGGATGGCCTCAAATTTAATATAAAACTGAAGATGAACTTGAACTTCTGATCCTCCTGCCCTCACCTCCTGAGTGCTGGGGTCACCTGGGTGTACCACCATGTTCAGTGTAATGGTGCTGGACCTGAACCCAGGTCTACACTACCAACTCACCTACACCCCCAATTTATGACTTCCATCTTCAGAGACAAAAAAAATCACATCACTTAGAGAAGGAAACTTTAGACTGGGTGACCAAGGGGAGTTGACAAAAGGCACAATTAACAAATCTGGAAAAGCCATGAAGAATGTTGGAGCACCCCTTTGTAACACAGGGAGCCCTTAGTAACAGTGGGGATACTGTATAGCCTTTAGGCCTTGAAGGGAAAGGAGCAGTGGCCAGCAGAACCTGGGGAGGACAGCTGTTGAGGGAGACCTCAGGACAGGAGCTATGGCCCTGAATGGGGAGTATGTGGAAGCTGGAGGCCAGGAGGCATAAAGGCCCCAGTCTTACTCTGCCAGTCCTACTTTTCTGCTTAGGATTCGAATGGTGATAGATTTCAAGGTCTCCTAAGAGCCCACCTTTCGGGAGCATGAACAACGGTGCAGGTGCCTCTGGCAGGGCCTCACTCTTAGCTCTCCATCCTCCCTAGACTCCCTAGACTTCTGCATCCAATTCTACCATTCCACCTGCCTCCTGCAACCTCCATGGCTCTCCTGGAGGGCTGTCTCAGGAGCTCTCTGATATAGGCTCCAGACTATCTGTCCTTGAAGACACACTCTTCAGTTCCAGGTTGCTGAGGTTTTTTTCCCCGCCATTAGTCCCTTCTCACCCCTGCCTGAGTCTCCCTCCTGTACCCACTGAGTTCAGTGTCCGGCTGCTGTGACATGGCTTACAATCAAATCTGTTTGAAGAATTACTTCCATGTAGGGCCAGGGAGAGAGCTCACTTAGTAAAGTCTTGCTGTGCAAGCATGCAAACCTGTGTTTGATCCCCATATAAAAACCAACCAAAAAAACCTCATAATCTCAATGTTGGTGAGATTGGGGCAGAAGGATTCTGGCTTGTTAGCCAGATAGTCTGGCCAAAAAGGTAACTTCTGAGTTCATTAAGAGACCCTGGCTCAAAAAATAAGATGGTCAGCTGGAGAGAGGGAGAGACGCGATGGCTCAGGAGTCAAGAGTGCACACTGCTCTTGATGAGGACCTGAGTTTACTTTCCAGCACCTACAACTGCCTGTAACTCTAGCTCTAGAGGATCTGATGCC